CGTGGAATCGGTCTTCCTAGTTCAAATCACGGCTCTTCCTGCTTCCTGTGTGGCCTAGGGCGGGACACACAACTTCTCTGAGCCTAACACTCCGTCTTTAACTGGGAAACAGTCCCTCCTCGCCAGCTGTGCCGTGGGATGCACCTGTGAAAATGGGTGAAGGCCTTCCCTCCGTGTGACTGCCTGCGTGCCCACAGTGCCGGCGGCCTCTGTCCTGGGGCTCCAGGTCACACCCACACCCTCCTCAGCCCCCTCCAAGCATTTCCAGTTCAAAGCATTCTCACGCCAGGCACCACAAGGGGTGTGATTACTTATGGACTCATAACAAATACAGTCCCGAAAAGGTATGAATGTAAATCCTTTTGAGCTAAAAGATATGAAAAAGAAGAATGCTTTTAGAATAGGTATTTCAATACATTTAGATGGAAAAAAAAAGGAAAGGATGCTAATGCCTGTGCCAGGCCCTGAGCTGAGGACTTCACCTGAATTCTCCCCTCTAATCCTGAGACCACTCTGCAGGGAAGACCATGTACACATGAATAAAGGCCACAAGGGGATAAGGATCCTCGTGTTACAAGTGAGGAAACAGGCTCAGAGAGGTTAAGTAACTTGTCCAGGAGCACCAGCCAGGAAGTGGCGCTGCTGAGCTTTAAGCCCAGGGCTTGGGAATTCCAGAGCCTTTCCAATTCCACCGAGTTGGCATCAGGGCTGCTAGGTCAGGGATGCTTTGACCTTACATGGAAACTCTAGGATACTTAGTAAGATTTAAAAAAAAATCAGAAAAAGACCAAAAGCCCACTGAATACCTCACCTTAATTTGATCAATGTTGTCACCAGATAACTCCTGAATATGCTTGAGACTGTACGTAAGGCCAGAGGGACTGAAAAATGTGATGCTGGCTGGAATGCCCTGTAGGGAGAGAAAACAAGATCAGCCCCTTGCCATGAGGCCAAGGAGAATGTTCCCTCAGCCCTGTCACCGTCACCCCCTCAGCCACAGAAGCAGCCCCCAGGCAGCCCCGGCAGATTCACAGCAGGGGGCTCCTAGCTGATGCTGGCACTCTCGGCACCATCGAGGGCGAGGTCAGGCGAGCAGAGTGCCATCAGAGAGGCTGCGTGCTGCTCCTTCGCCTCTGCCAGCCCCCAGGTCCGTGTCTGCCTGGCCAGAGGACATGGGCACTGTGGACCCCACATGCGCAGCAGAGTGGACAGTGCCTCTAGCAGTGTGGCCAAAGTGGCACTGGTCAGGTCAGGCAGCAGCGAGTCCGGATCCCTGTCATCTCCATCCCTTCTGGCAACAGTGCAGACAGCGGACAGACCGGCCCACAGGGCCTTTCTGCTGTGGTTTGTGCCAACAGGACGTCCCTGGACCAGCAGGGCAGTCAGAAACCCATCCTGGGAGAGGAAGGGGGTGCGTCTTATAGAAGTGGAAAACTCCAATCAACTCCAACAAGCAGCTTCCACTCTTCTGCCTGAAGCCTCCAAAAGTCCCCGTGGCCTCCCAGATTCCATCCAGACTCCTCGGTGGGCACGACTGGCCTTCCCAGTGTGGGCGCAGCCTCCCTTCCCAGCCTCTGCCCCCACAGCTCCACAGATGCTGGAGCCCCTCTTTGCCTTGGGCGTACCATGTCTGGGATGCTCTACACAGGGCTTTGCATAAATTATCCCCTTTAATCCTTATAAAAACCTTACTAGATAGGTCTAGTCCCATCTCACAAATAGAGATGGAGTCACTTCCTCAGTCACTCAGCTGGGGACATTGGAACTATGCACAGAATCAGTGTCTGCAAGGCTTGTGCCCCTCACCCTTGCGCCTCCTCCACCAGGGTGCCCACCCTGAGCGCTCCCTAGAAACAGAACGCACCTGTTGGGAGTAGTAGCTGCTCAGGTTCCCCTGGATTCCTGGGTGTGGAATCTTCTGGTAGACAGTTATGCTTTCCATGGGAATCCCTGGACACAGGCAAAACCAGGAAACAGACTTTACTGCCCTGGGGACACAATGGGGTCTCTGCACCTTGGGTCACAGTTAGTGGGGAACCCCTAGCGCAGCACAGCCTTCCTGGAACAAGCTGCGGGGGGCTGAGAGGCAGGGACTGAGGGCAAGCAGTCTTGGCTGGCCCCTGCAGGAGCCACTCCAACACTACGGAGTGGCTCCTGCAGGGAGGAGGCTGAGACGGCAGGGGAAGTCAGGGACCTGGAACCACAGCCTTCCTTCACACTCATGGATGCCTTTTGTTCCCGTGTTTGTGTGGGGTGTCCACAAGGACCACCCCTAGCTACTCCACCATGGATGCTGTCTGTGTGGAATCCCACACTGAGGGCAAGGGGTGAGACAGGGCTTTGAGGGAGTTTTTCAAGCC